GCCCGGCCTGCCTATTTTTTAATAGGGTTATTTGGGTTGTTGTTTCTGCTTAAATCTTTCATTTCAGTCAGTGAATCACGTCCTCACCCTCTCTGATTTTTAACATCCTCTGGCCAAGCATGCCACAAGATAGTCTCCTGTTCAGAAATGCTTAGGAATAGAGAGAATGTTGCTCTCAAGAAATCTTGAAGTCGGAAAGGCAGCATTTTATAAACAAACCTCTGATTGCTACTGGTTGCCCAGAACTCTTGGAAAAGGTTTGATGTGTAAGAAGTCTTTCATAAAGATTTTATTAATCTTACTAATTTCAGTTTAACGTTAATGAAGTGCCAACCACATATAGTGTTGCACTATGGATAAGTTAGAATTAATTTAAAGGAAAACGAACGCAAAATATTTTAACTCCTTCGACCCAACCCGTAAGCTAGACTCAGAGCCATTCATCTGAATACTTTTTTCTTTCTTTCTTTCCTTTCTTTTTTTGAATGAGGAGTTGAAAGCTACAGATCTCTTCTGATCTTTCCTGCCACATCTTCTCTCTCTGAATAAGGAAGTTGGCAACCTTAAGCCTGATCTTTGGGTTGGGCCTCTCAATTTTCCCAGGCCCTACCCAGGGGAAAAACACACTCCATCGGAAAATCTAGATTTCTTTAAAATTCTTGGTAAGGTTTTGGAGAGACTCGCTACACAAGGCTATCATTTCTGCATTTATTTTTATTTATTTATTTATTAAATTTCAGACTATTACGGGGACACAATGTTTTGGTTACATGGAGTGCTTTTGTACTGCTTGAGACATAGTCATAATTGTGCCATCACCCAGGTAGTGTGTACTATACCCATCACGTTTCTGCTTTGAAATAGAAGCTTGTAGTTCATTCAGAAAAAAACTTCTGGTTGCAATTTGTTGAATCATATACAAAACTATCAACCTGACTGTAAAATATGAACAGCTATCCACAGGATTTTCTACGTAGGTGTACATTCTCTTCCAGATAGGGTCTCTTATCCATAGGTACCCTCCATACAGTTTTGTGTCCCACAACCCTTAAGAAGCCACTGCATGTGAAAATATCTGGATCCTGCTTTAAGAACAACGTATAATTCCATGGGTTAAGGAGACAGCAGAACTCATTTGAGGTTCATGTTCTCATAGAGTGTTACTACTGGAAAGGTCCCTGAAGATTATCTAGTCAAATCACCCTAGTGTGAGAGGAGGATCTGAGACCCAGAAAGGAGAGTCATTTCCTCAATGCCATAAAAAGTCACTAGGTGTCCAGAATTCACATAGGGCTCATTGGATGCCATGTTCTTTTTCCCCATTAGTGTGTATTTTATGAGATGCTTCTTGATATTATATTTTCCTATTTATCGAACATGAAAACAATCATATTGCTGAAAATCCTTGTAACATATACTTGAATGCCTTAAATAAAAGTCTCTTATTAATACAATCCCAGATTTCAAGAAAAAGTTTTGCTAGAATTAGGACCAGGTGGCCAAGTTCTAGAGAAAGTGCTTCCAGGCACCTCTGAATGACTCTTCAGATTTGAGACCAGTGGGTTTTCTAAAGAAGGAAAACCACTAAGCTCCTTCTTTGTCCAAGAGCCTAGTCAGGTCTCCTGTCTAAAATTCCCCCCAAAAGTGTGGGGCACTTTGTTTTGTGTTAAGTAGGATTAAGGCACACTAAGGCGCTTTGGGTTAAGATCTTGACATCAACACAAACACATCTACATCCATATGACAACAAAAAAGTGACTTTCATGTAAAGGTGAAGGTAAAAGTTTAGGTAGGAGTGTCTGAGAATAATAAAAGCCCAGATACCCCCAGGGGAAGAGTTAAGCCCAGGTACACGTCAGAATCTTGACACTATTGCCACTGTACATCCGGAATCATCTGGATGACTAACAGTACAGTCTATTATTTCAGGGAGATTATAAAAATCTATGGGCCTCACACTATGTGTAATGCAATGAAGTAACAAACAAGCTTGCAAAACTTTTTGCTTCTGCATTTCCTGATTTAGGAAAGAGAAGCAGTGGGGGTCTGAATGTATATTATGTCTGTTAGGGAATCTGTATGTACTTGGTCTAGGATTGGTTGCTTGCGCAGAAGAGAAGTGGACAAAATTAACAATCTCATATACTGAATATGGAACCCATTCAAAATCTTGTTTAGGTCCTCAAAGAATCAATGAATCCATTTTCCCTTTCTGATAGATAAATCAGGTTGTCTTGTATCTAGTTGTGTAGACTCATAAATTATTTAAAAATATAGAGGGTCATTTTCTCTGATCCAAAAATTCCTGGTTTGGGGGTAGTTAAAATGAAACTCTGAAATTCTATCCTCTGTATGGGCATTTAAGACCCAGGGGCCACATTCTAGAATGGAATATTGCCCTGATTCCATAAAACACAGTTTATAAACCAAAAGACATCGACTAGAGCATCTTAAATTAAGTCTAATGGCCTTCCTATTCAAACAGTAAATCTGTATTGTCACAAAAAAAATATTAACTATCAGTACAACTGGGCCATACCGTTTTATACGTCTAATAGGCTGGTGAAAAGGAAAAAGGTCGTTAAACAAGGCTTAGGAGAGGCTGTTCCCTTCTAAGAGCAAAGCAGGCTGAGGGCACCGGGGGCGCAGCCAAGTGCGTAGTGGAGGAAGTTTGATGCAGAAAGTACTGAGGGGAACACAGCGCTGTCTGGAAACAATCAGAAGATGCCAGAAGGAAGTAGTAATGGCTAATTCTAGAAAATTCTAGAACAAGGACCAGAGCGGGTCAGTGTTAAACTAGGACGAGTACAACTGAGTTTCTCCCCAGTCTAAGGCACGAGACTGGAGGGAAAGGAATGGAAGGAAACAGCCCCAGTGGGGGGAAGTGGGGATGTGGGAACACGATACGTGCGAAGGGGCGTTAGGGACAGTAGAACAGGAGAACCGGGCGATGACTGTCGAGTAGTGCCACCAGGAGGAGGGTCCTGCGAGGATAATGAAGGGAGGAGGGTGTAAAGCACGGGTCGGGAACCGCAGGGGTCAACCACGGGCAGGGGCTGCGCGGACGTCCGCAGCAGAGAAAGCGAAGGCTCAGGGCTGGGGCGTGGCCCGGACGGAAAGGCTCGGTAACGGGCTCGGGGCGAAAAGAAGGGCGGGGACGCGCCTTGCTGACAGCCGCTCGCGGATGGCGCCTACAGGGTTAAAAAGCAGGGGCGACGAGACGAGGACGAACTCGGTTTCCAGGGTAACGGCTCCGACAGTTCCGGCAGCGCAGGCTCGTACCATTGCGCGGGCGCGCGCGGGGGAGCGGAGGGGAGGAGGGGACGCGCGGCGGCGCAGGCGGGCGGAGGGCCGGCTCGGACGCTACCAACCGCGCGGCCGCCTGCTCGCCCCGGGTCTGCGCCGAGCCGCGCGGGGGCCGCGGCGGCCTGGAGCAGGGCCGGCAGCGCCCAACGGCCCGCGGACGGCGGGGGGAAGAACGCGCGCCCGGCGGCCCGGCTTGGCCTCCTGGTCCCCCCGCCCGGGCGGCGGAGTGCGGGCGGCCCGGGGCTGGGAGGTTTGAAAAGCCGGCGAGAGACAAAGGCGGCAGGAAGCCTCCTCGGCGCCCGGAGCCCGTGCGCCCGGCCCCCGGGCCCCTCGCCGGCCCGCCGGCCCGCGGAGCAGCGCGGCAGCGGGAGGCGGCGGCGGGAGGCGGAGGATGCGGCAGGGGGCGTGGGAGCGGCGGCGGCGGAGCGGCGCGGCCCGAGCGCGGCGCGGCTAGACCGGGCGGCGGCGGCCGGGCTCGCGGGTGAGGCGGCGGGTGCCTTCCGCGCCCGGGATGTGAGGACCGAGCGGAGCCCGGGGCGGGGGCGGCAGGAAGGAAGGAGGGACGGACGCACCAGGAGGAGGAGCGGCGGCGGCGGCCGGAGCCGGAAGGCGGGGAGGGGCCGTCCGTTGGGCCCGAGGCGGTGGCGGCGGCGGCGGCCGGGGCGGCCCGCTCTCGTCGCCTTCCCGGCAGGAGCGGCCAGGCCCGCGCCTCCGCCCCCAGCGCCGCGGAGGGGGAGGAGGAAGATGGAGACCCACATCTCGTGCTTGTTCCCCGAGCTGCTGGCCATGATCTTCGGCTACCTGGACGTGCGGGACAAGGGGCGCGCGGCGCAGGTGTGCACGGCCTGGCGGGACGCCGCCTACCACAAGTCGGTGTGGCGGGGGGTGGAGGCCAAGCTGCACCTGCGCCGGGCCAACCCGTCGCTGTTCCCCAGCCTGCAGGCCCGGGGCATCCGCCGCGTGCAGATCCTGAGCCTCCGCCGCAGCCTCAGCTACGTGATCCAGGGCATGGCCAACATCGAGAGCCTCAACCTGAGCGGCTGCTACAACCTCACCGACAACGGGCTGGGCCACGCGTTCGTGCAGGAGATCGGCTCCCTGCGCGCCCTCAACCTGAGCCTCTGCAAGCAGATCACCGACAGCAGCCTGGGCCGCATAGCCCAGTACCTCAAGGGCCTGGAGGTGCTGGAGCTGGGGGGCTGCAGCAACATCACCAACACTGGCCTCCTGCTCATCGCCTGGGGGCTGCAGCGCCTCAAGAGCCTTAACCTGCGCAGCTGCCGCCACCTCTCGGACGTAGGCATCGGGCACCTGGCGGGCATGACGCGCAGCGCGGCCGAGGGCTGCCTGGGCCTGGAGCAGCTTACGCTGCAGGACTGCCAGAAGCTCACGGATCTTTCCCTAAAGCACATCTCCCGAGGGCTGACCGGCCTGAGGCTCCTCAACCTCAGCTTCTGCGGGGGCATCTCGGACGCCGGCCTCCTGCACCTGTCGCACATGGGCAGCCTCCGCAGCCTTAACCTGCGCTCCTGTGACAACATCAGTGACACGGGCATCATGCATCTGGCCATGGGCAGCCTGCGCCTCTCGGGGCTGGATGTGTCGTTCTGCGACAAGGTGGGGGACCAGAGTCTGGCTTACATAGCCCAGGGGCTGGACGGCCTCAAGTCCCTCTCCCTCTGCTCCTGCCACATCAGCGATGATGGCATCAACCGCATGGTGCGGCAGATGCACGGGCTGCGCACGCTCAACATTGGACAGTGTGTGCGCATCACGGACAAGGGCCTGGAGCTCATTGCTGAGCACCTGAGCCAGCTCACCGGCATAGACCTGTACGGCTGCACGCGGATCACCAAGCGCGGCCTGGAGCGCATCACGCAGCTCCCCTGCCTCAAGGTACTCAACCTGGGACTCTGGCAGATGACGGACAGCGAGAAGGTCAGGTGAGGGCGGCAGCGCCAGCTCCCCTCGTCCCGCCTGCGCGCCCTCCTAGCACCGCCCCCGCCCCCCACACTCACGCACACTATGCACCGATCGTCGCAGTGGATGAGATGGGGCAGTGACAGACGCCTCGGGCTCGTTTCTCCTCCCCCTCCGGCGCCCCTCCCCGCTCCCGGCCCATTCTCAGTGCATCTGGGTTCCTCCGCTGGCCCCCCCCTACTCCCCTCTCCTTTTCCCTGCGGGTGGAGGGCCGGACTCAGCTCCGTACCCACCCGCCCCCCTCTGCAGGGGGATGGAGGTGCAGCTACTGTGTCCCCGCTGCGTTGCTTTTGGAAATGGGGGTGGGGGGTCCTTTCAACCCCTGGGAGTTGAGGAAATGTCTGCCTTCACTGAAGCTTTCGTTTGAATACTGTGATCTGGTTTTTATTTTGAAATGTATAAAAAGCAAACCCAGCTACAAGGGCCTTTTCACCCTTCTTCCACTTTGTAACTAATCCCAGTCTCTTCTCATCACTTCTGCTTTGGCAGTGCTCTGCTACTCACGCTCATTCCATTTTTATCTTCTTTCCTTTTTAAAATTTTTTTGAAGAAAT